ATTGTTGTAAGTTTAATTTAAGATTATTTACCATATTTCTAGACAATTTTACTTGTTTCAAATAATGTTGCTTGTTTTAAGAAATATGCTTAAAATCAGCAAAATTATCTACCAGTATAGTGAGATAATGTAGCTTAATAAAAGTACTTGAAACAAGTTAAAAGTGTTTAGAAATAAGCTGGGGGGCGGGGGCTGCAGGTCACCTAGCAACGAGGTTTCGCCTGGCTAGTAGCGAAAGAAAAGAGGAAAAAAAAAGGAAAAGAGAAAGACAGACTAACATTTGGAGACGAACGGACTTATTCGCATTTATAGGCAGCGTAGTTGGTTTCCTGGTACGTTAAATCGGCAACGTTCCACCTTAAATGGTGTCGCTTTTACATTCGCCGCCTCAGTCAGAATTTAAGGTGGAACGGGAAAGTTCAGCAAGAAGCTGGCGAGTGAGAAGCGACTTCAGCCTCGTAAAACAGCGGAACGCGGAGAGACATTTTACAAGAAACTAATCAACTTTTGAGGAGAAGTTTTCTGGCGGAGATGGAAGAAAAGCGGCTATAGCTAAAGCTTAAAGCAGAGCAGAGTAAGTCTGTGTTTTCGTTTATATTTTTTAGCCTAAACTAGCACATTATCATATACTGGACATAAATGTTGCGGTTCCCAAGGTGGTTTGATTTTTGTTGAAAGGACAAAATGTCTCTTCTTATCATTTGGGTTGTGACTCCTGATCTAACCTGGCTTTAATGCAGAGGGAGCCGGTCGAGTTTCTCACTCGTCCATGTGTGTTTTTGTTTTGTGCCGCCACAGACTGTCCGGGCGCTCCACTTACCCACTTCCAAGTTCCGCCTTTTGCGTTCCGTCAACATTACGTTATAAATGAAATATTTAGAAAATCGATTTTTGACATTTATGAATCGATTCAGAATCGTCCACGTCTGCATCGCGATGCATCTAAGAATCATTTTTTTTCCCGTACCCCTGGTATTTAGTGTGTCCACTCTTTACCTGTATTACAGCTCTCATTTTTTTCTGGAAGCTTGCTTTCAGATTTTTAAAAATCTGAAATCTGCAGGGATAATTTTCTACACCTCCAAAGTTCAGTCTTAGAAGTTGGTTGCATTTTCTGCTTCTCACAATCCAAGTAATCTCAAACACATTCCGTGATGTTGAGGTCTGGACTCTGGGGTGGACAGTCTATGTTCTGAGAACACCAGCAGCTTCTTTTTTTGATGTGCATGTTTTCTTTCTATTTTGTCTGTTTTCTTTTCTCAGTAACAGCTTATTGACATCCTTTCAGGCTCATAGCGCTGAGTGTCTTCTCACAGTGGAAGGATGGACAGAAACTCTTGGAGATTTTTTTAGATCTGAAGCAGGAGTGGTGCTTGATTTTCTCCCCTCTCTCAAAGATGAAAGCTTTATCTGATGGTGAAAGTTTCGGTGGTCTACCAAGTCTTACCTGCTTGTTAGGGGTCCCCTGGTCTCTGACTTTTACATAGTACTGTAGGTGCACTTTGTAGGTTTACAATTGCAGACTGTAGCTCATCTGTCGCTACACAATTTATTAGCCCCTGTCTACACTGTCCATCAAGGGAAAGGGACCACAACAGGACCATTGCTGACATGCTTTAAGCACACAGTGTATAATAAACTGGCAATTTATACAAATGTGGTAATTATTCATAACAAAAATGATCATCAGTACTATGGAACATTAATTAATGCATTTTAAACACATTTCATTATGAGATTTTAGATCAGCATACGTTCACAGGAATCCAGGCCCTTCTAAAGAGTAAATTTGGCTGCTTTAAGGTTCTCCTCTGCTGACAATTTCTATTGTTCACAAACAACTTGTACAACACAAAAGCATTGCTAGTAGAATGGGACACTGTAGAGCAGCTACACATGAGCCTAAGGCCACCAACCCAATGCCTAGAGCTGGCTAGAGGGGTGTAAAGCCCCCCAGCATTGGGCTGTGGAGCAGTATAACTGTGTTCTCTGGAATGAAAGAGCACCATCCAATAGCTTTGGGAAGAGCTGGAGAGACATTTGTGATCCAGAAGTAATCATTCAGCATCAGTACCTGACCTTAGGTCAGTGAGCTCTTGTTGTTGCAATCATATCCTCACAAATATATTAGTTGTTGGTTGAAAACCCCTAAATACAAGATAAAGTATAAAACGTGCCATAACTTTAACTTACTGTTAACTTTTTCTCGCTTGGAAAATCAACAAAACATGTTCGCCCAAAACCTTTGCTGCACACACACATTTGTATATATACATATATATATATATATATATATATATATATATATATATATATGTGTGTGTGTGTGTGTGTGTGTGTGTGTATGTATATATAGCGGATTTTATATATACACATATATCGTTGCTGTTGGAGCCAAACCTCATATCTCCATGTCTATTTTTTTTTTATTTATAAAAGGCAGTTGCCCTTTATGTCCAATTTATTCATGTCAAAATTTCATGATGAACAGTCAAACAAAAATGGTCCAAAATTACTTGGAAAAAAAATTACGTCTACAAAGGTTAATAACGTTTTTCCTTGTATTGTAAAGTTAAGTTCTTGGAGATAGGATATATGTGTGTGTATACACACACACACACACAAACATATGGTAGATACACGTATGTATGTGTATGTATTTTAGATATTTTATCCACATTCATGGTCCAGTTTATCAACTCCACTTATCATATAGGAGTACTTTGTAGTTCAACAATTACAGAGAAGAGTCCACCAACCAAAAAAAAAACCCTGTGGGCAGCGTCCTGGACTAGAGGATGACCAACACAAACTGTGCGGCAATAGATGAGTTACTGTCTCTGACTTTACATCTACAAGGTGGACCAACAAGGTCAGGGGGTGTCTAATAGAGTGGACAGTGAGTGAACACAGTGTTTAAAAACTCCAGCAGCACTGCTGTGTCTGATCCACTCGAGCCTGCACAACACACAATGATCCACCACCCAAATAATACCTGCTCTGTGGTGGTCCTGACCATTAAAGAACAGGATGAAAGAGGACTAGGAAAGTATGCAGAGAACCAGATGAGCAACAGTCTGTAATTGTAGAACTACAAAGTACCCCTATGTGGAAAATGGAACTGATAAAATGAAAGTAGATACAGGGAGCTGTACTTAATCAAGTGGCTGGACAGTGTATATTTCCACATATCCATATTTTGTGGAAAATATAAATATAGTAACTAAATAATACAAATTTTCAGGGTTCCAAGGGATGCTTGGTCATGCTTGTGACAGAGTGCACCTGTATGGTAAGTGGAGCTGGAAAAATTGACAATGAGTGTAGAAACTAGGAAATGTTCCTAATAAAGTTCTCGGTGAGTGTCTGGTCCAATGAATTGAGTTTCAATGCCTTTCCAACCTCCCTCCCTTGGGCCTTGTCTCCAAGCTCCTCCTCAATCCTGCAGAGCCAATTCAAACAATGTCATAATAAGCACTCGGTCCTCAGCTACAATCAAAACGGCTTTAATTAGCTCTGGCACAATAAACTCTTTTGCTATCAGTGCTCAAAAGTAGTCACACTCTGAATACAATTATATCTTGTTTATTTATTACTTTCCAAGCTATTTATTTATTACTTCACATCCATCTGAAGTTATAATAACCAGTAATAATAATCAGGTTTTCTAGCTGAAACGTAAAAATGGTAGAGCATGAAAAGTAATATGTAAAATGAAATAAGGCAATAAAAGTACTCAAACATTAGTGGGACAAACAGAGTTTCTCTCTGCCGCTTAGTATTTAGTATTTTATTTAGTTTACTAGATCAGATATTGTTGCAAATCATTTCTTTGGCATGACAGCTTGAAGACGTCTAGGCGTGGAATGCATAAGTTTGCACAACTGTTGCTCATTCAGGCTTGTTGGATTTTCTCTTTTGGATGGTCAGAGCATGGCAGGTTTTGAACAGTTCCAATTGGTTTACTGTTTATGCTTTTTTTATAGACAAAGTCTAATCTGCAGACCAAATTAACTAGCCATTGCAGCAGAGCAATCATCTGATCCTGAATGTCAGAGTAGTACATATGTACTAAATGTTTTAGATGAAATAAGTACATGTGCAGACTCAGCAGTGTTCACACACCCTGTAATAGAGCAAGCAGCATAATGCTTCAGGATTGTGCAATATTGTGACGTGACAGCAGAGGGCAGTACAGACCTACAGAACAACGTAGTCCTTACATGATCATCAAACCTGAATATTGTATGCAGATTTGTTTTTTAACACAGCTCAAGAGCCAATCTAAATAGGAATATATTGCTCCTTTCCTGACATTGTTGCTTCTAAATACCCATTTGAGGGTGATCTAAGCTCATCTCATGAGTAAATGTTATATATTTTTGGTTAAATGCCACCAAGCGAAGACGACGCAAACTAGCCACTAGGTGGCACATGACCTTGAACAGAGGAAGCCTGTAAGGCCGCGATCAATAGGAATAGCTCACTTCTCAATCAAGGGAGGGGGTGGGAACCCAGCATTGAAAACAATGAGTTTGAAAAAACCCAATATGTTGAAGAACACAGCATCACTGAGAACAAAGCAGATAAACTGCACTTGGATAGTAACAGTAACACATAGTTTTCTTAACCTCCTGATGCTTTGAACGCAGGAGACATACAGGGTAGGTCTATATGGAACAGCCTCCCTTGATTATTCCACCTGCAGGCCAGACCATGATGCATGTTCAGCTAGCATCCGAGTGAACTGCTTGGGAAACCTTTGTTGCCTGTTCTTCATGCTCCACAGGCCTCAGGCAGTAGGGCATATCTTCTTACCAAACTTGGACCTAAGAGGTTTTATTTTCCCCTCCGCTCATGTTACTGCCAAAACAGGCCTTTCAATACACAGACTGTGTATTGTTCGACTTCATGTGTACCATCTTCCTCATTAACACCAGTGCCGATGAATGGATATATAAAACCACACAGGCTTAAAAAAAAAACAACCATAGACAGACCACTGTAACACTCTTCCACTTGAGTATAGTTTATTTGTTGGTATGCCACGCTTTACAGCAACACTACAGCTTTTCAAAGGCAACACAATGCACATACTCTGGGCTACACACCGCAGCATACTGAACAACATGGTTGTTTACTAAAAACACTCAACAGAGGACCAGTTTCACTACAACTCACGAGAAGCAAAACAAAGATCTCTTACAGAAACACAGACATAATTAAAGGATCAGTGCTATTTGGGGTGCCAAAGCATAGAAGATGGGAGTACGTGTTGGCACAGAAGTAGTGTGCCATAGCCTACAGACTTGGACCTTGAGTTTCAATGCCTTTCCAACCTCCCTCCGTTCTGGAGAGGGTGACGTTGCGTGGCTCTATGTGTGGGAGTGCGAGTATGTTACAGACACAAAGGCCCAAGAAAGGCCTGCTCCTCAGATGGGCTTCCTGAAGTTCTTGCCGGCAAAGCGGGCCTTGTCTCCAAGCTCCTCCTCAATCCTGCAGAGCCAATTCAAACAATGTCATAATAAGCACTCTGTCCTCAGCTACAATCAAAACGGCTTTAATTAGCTCTGGCACAATAAACTCTTTTGCTATCAGTGCTCAAAAGTAGTCACACTCTGAATACAATTATATCTTGTTTATTTATTACTTTACAAGCTATTTATTTATTACTTCACATCCATCTGAAGTTATAATAACCAGTAATAATAATCAGGTTTTCTAGCTGAAACTTAAAAATGGTAGAGCATATAAAGTAATATGTAAAATGAAATAAGGCAAGTAAGTAAGTACTCAAACATTAGTGGGACAAACAGAGTTTCTCTCCGTTGCTAAGTATTTAGTATTTTATTTAGATTAATAGATCAGATATTGTTGCATATTATTTTTTTGGCATGACAGCTTGAAGACTTGTTGGCATGGAATGCATAAGTTTGCACAACTGTTGCTCATTCAGGCTTGTTGGATTTTCTCTTTTGGATGGTCAGAGCATGGCAGGTAAGAGATGAGGTTCCTGTCTTTTTGTCATCAGTACAAGTTTCACTTTGATAATGAAATTTTCTGTGTATCTGTAAAGTTTCTCACAAACATTTTGTTATTAAGAGACAATAATTAAGTTTTCAAAGCAAGATTTATCAGAATTTTGGATGGTGGCTTTCCAGAAGTAGCACTGGAGATCTCTGGTTTGAGCATGACGTGTGTGTATTTGGATTAGTTCATCAACAAGTGGGTTTAGGTGAAAGTTTTCTAGTTTGCTATTGTTCAGTTGGACCCAAATTATTAACTGACAAGCTGTAATACAGCTGAAATGATGTATTTTCAATTGAATTGCATATGGTAAAACAATTTACTTAATACGTTAACAAATTAAATAATTTATAAAAAAAAATTATAAAGGTGCAGCAAGACTGTTTTTGTGCACTGTACATACTTGCTATATTGCTACAAGGGAAACCATATGCCAAATATACAGCATATCATCATTACATTTATATCTACATTTTTTTTATTTTTACAGTAGCTGAGTGACCCCACCTTAGCAGTTGATTGTACTTGGCCAGACGCTCTGATCGGCAGGGGGCGCCAGTCTTGATCTAATTAGGGAACACATACACAAAGAGTGAGGCTACTTGCAGATGTTTCATTCATTTGAACTAATAAACAGTTGGAGCTCAGAAGTTACTCTCTTACCTGGCCAGTGCAGAGGCCAACCACCAGGTCAGCAATGAAGGTGTCTTCAGTCTCTCCGGAGCGATGGCTGACCATCACACCCCAGCCATTGGACTGTGCAAGCTTGCAACTACACAATGAGAAAGAGGGAAGATGAGAAAAAGAGCGTAAAAGTTTCTCATTTACTCCATGTTTCTCAATCCAGTTCCTGGGTTCCACCGGACCATCCCACATTTTTGCTCTAACCCAGTGAACTGGAATCTGGGATAAAGGGAAAATGTGGAACTGTCAGGAGGGCCCCAAGGACTGGGTGAACAAACATGGGCTACATAACCTTAAAAACATGTATAAAAGAGGCTACAAACATGAAGCATGCTTGTGGACACTCACGCCTGCAGGGACTCTGTGACAGAGCCGATCTGGTTGACCTTGAGCAACAGGCAGTTGCAGGCCTTGTCTGACACGGCCTTAGCAATGCGCTTGGGGTTGGTCACAGTCAGGTCATCACCCACCACCTGGATGCTTGTGCTGGCGGTGAACTTGGACCAGGCGTCCCAGTCATCCTGGTCAAAGGGATCCTCAATGGAGACAACTAAGGAGGAAAAAAACATTAGTCATTCAGTTAGACCACCACTGGAATGCACAAGTGGGGTCCTAAAGCAAAAACAGAAACACAAATGTTCATATGAACATATGACAGACAGTATAAGGAAAGTAAGCTATATTTAAGGACATGTGACATGATGACAAATCCTTTAAAAACAATGTGGTATTTGCTTCTATATCCACTATGTATTAGGTGCCATCCTCCATTAAATATAAACTGTACAGAGCACATGTAAGCAACCAGGCTACAGGGAGGGAGGCAGTGCGTGCTCAGAGCCATACAGTGATGAGCTAAAGTACATTAGTATGGTAACTAGCTTTAAGCAGTTAACCCATTAAATCTTGGTCTGCTCAAACTCTCCACGGGGTCTTGACTGTTTCATAGCAGAGTAGCTGGTTAATATGCATTCTGAACATTCTTGGACTAATTTCTTTGGAAGTCTAAACATTTAGGACTATGCTAAGCAACTATGTAAACTGAAAAAAGGAATTATATCAAAGAACTGCTGTGCTGCACTGCTCCACATTATACAGTGTGTCATATATGGATTAGAGAATATGTATACAAAACATCTCAGTGTTGTGCAAGTCTTTGGCATGCCGTGAGTAGCTGAAGAAAAAAAATGCATATAGTGCTATTAGGTCTATAGCTAAGTGAAACTGACCTGGATAATCCTTCACAAAGCTCTTGTAGAGGTCAGCCAGCTGGTCAGGAGAGATGTAACGGCTGGGGTCATCAGGTGACTTGAAGTCCAGGTCGTACTTGCCGCCCTTGTAGAACTCAGATGCAGCCACATCCATGCCGATCACAATTTTGTCAGTGTAGCCAGCCTTGCTGATGGCTGTCTTCAGCAGCTCAAGAGCTGGGACAGAAATAAAGAATTATATAGGGACTGTTGTGACATTTAGAAGGACACGTTTAAAAAGAAGTATTTGTTTATGATGGTGGCATCTTTCCTCTGCATTTAAGCGTGTTGAAGGACATTAAGAAACCAGACTGCTAAACTACATGGCAATATTCTTTTTATGTAAAAGCTTGTCTAAATAAACCTGAGACACACGAGCCATCAAATGTTATTGCTATAATATTATTGTATAATAAAGGAATTTGACAATAAACATTTTTATGGTATTCAAGCTGGAGTGTTAACAGAAGCACAGAATGCTCTTCAGCTGACAGTGAGGTCCAACAGCTGAGAGACACTCAGCACTCTCAGCACATCTACCCAAGAGCAGGTTTCAGTGCAGGTGCCTGGCTGGCCTACAGCCACTTCGGCTGCACTGCTGGGGCCAGGCCTGAATTTAGAAACCATCTGCTGCTTCAGGGAAGGAATTCCCAACTACAGTACTAAAAGCACTAAGTTTAGGGACCAAGGGTAAACTTACACTGTGCTGAGACGGCCTCACAAAGAAAGCTCACATTTTCTTTTAAAGGTACATGAAATCAAATACTTACATATATATTTATACCTAAATAGAAATGTTATAATAATTACTAATTACCATTTTTAATAAATACTTATTGATTATAATTATTTAACATTAACAATTCTTATACATGCTATAAAATCTCATATATTTTTGTAAAACTTGATTAAATATTATATTACCTAACGGCAATTGACATGAAAACACATGTAACCTTAAAATTGCATTTTTTCTATAACGTCTGGGATAATGTTTGAGTTATTGCTTATTCACAATCAGAAGTGTGGCACACAGTGTGACCAGCAGTAACACTGAACTTTCCACTGCAGCGGCAAATCAACAATGTGAAACCTTACCCTCTTTGTTCTCCAGGATGTTGGGAGCAAAGCCACCCTCGTCTCCCACATTGGTGGCGTCCTTGCCATACTTCTCCTTGATAACGTTCTTCAGGTTGTGGTAGACCTCAGCGCCAACGCGCATGGCCTCTTTGAAGCTGCTGGCCCCAACAGGCAGGATCATGAACTCCTGCATGGCCAGCTTGTTGCCAGCATGAGAACCACCGTTGATAACGTTGAAAGCCTTGGGAGTATAAACGGCTCTATTAATGGTGTGCCAAAACTTGTGTTTGACAACAATGGCAAAAGAACAGCCCAGCCCAAAGAGAGGGCTGGAAATATTTCTCTGGCAAGAGTACAAGGACAGAAATATCACAGCAAAAGCTTACAGGGACTGGGAGGATGACCTCTGGGTTTCCAGCAAGGTCAGCGATGTGGCGGTAGAGTGGGACGCCTTTCTCTGCAGCTCCAGCCTTGCACACAGCCAGGGACACACCCAGGATGGCATTGGCACCGAACTTTGCTAAAGAATTAGAAAAGCAACAAATCAAAACATGCAATAAACTGTGTGGTTCCCCTGGCCACAGCATTTCACATTCTGGACACTAAAAGTATAGAGTCTGTGGCCCAAGTGGCCACGTGCCTTAGAGATTTCTTAAATTAAATAAGGTGTTACACTGAGAGCTATCAATGCAGTAGATAAACAGTTTGTAAAGATATAATTTAGATTGGATGACATCAAGGCGGACCAGCCCGGCAGGGGAGACCACCACGGTCACAGCAACGTTCTTATTTATGTCAAGATTTAATACATTTCTCCATTCTCAAAGCAACACCTGATTGTTTTTGATACTAAATGCCACATATGTTTCTATTATTTGAGTAAACAGCGCAAATTTTTATATCCGTCTGTCATTTGATGAAACATAACTGCCAAAAATCTTTTATAATCACAAAAAAAAACGACTAATATATCTGCGGGAGCCACTTACATTTGTTGTCTGTGCCATCCATATCAAGCATCAGCTTGTCAATCTTCTCCTGCTCCAGGACAGACACGCTCTGTTTGATAGCAAAAGACAAGTCATAAGAACAATCCACATGTCAGCAAGCAAGAGTCAGGGTTAAACACACAGCATTCACCTCAAGCCTTGTGCAAAAGGGTTGTTAAACGTGTGCACAACATTCTGAGATTAGGAGGAGAACAGAGGCATTATCATATACTTGCACTGTTCTGATCAAAACTACGGCTGTCTTTAGAAACAACTACATCATTCTCTGTCCTTCCACACATTTTTAGTAAACAGTTTTCATAACAGAGAGCAAGACACTATCAAGTAAAAACATGTAAACAGACTGGCTGTCCAAAGTACAGTCAAAGATAAACCACTGTTCTGTTATTACCTTAAACATTACAAAACACCTGGAGTCATCTAAAAAAGCACACACTTTTTTTTGTTAGTCAAAAAATAAATATTCCTACCTGGCTAACCAGGGCAGGTGCAATTGTTTTATTGATATGCTCAACAGCTTTTGAGACACCTGCAGGGAACAAGCAGACCATCACTGACCCGAGTAGAGGGCAACATGCAGAGCCGGCACAAGACAATCACAGAACAGGCCCTTCCAGTGACGGATCATTAGTACATCGAGGAGCGAGAATTTCTCAGGACGTCTGTGATCATCTGTAAATGCCTACTGCGGTTAGTCGTGAGAGCAAACTCAACGCTTCATGCTCTGGTATTATCACAAGGGTGCGATGCCCCTCGCTTCAGTTACTGCACACACTCATTTACCTGATTACACAAAGCTGGGGCCAAGAACTCATTTACATATTTTACAGCTCTTTTCACCCCTGACAGAGGAGAAGAAAAGATGCGGAGTCAGAAGAGACTGAGAAGGAAAGGAGACAGAAAGTGAGGAAGAATAGAGTGCTGTGTCTAGGGGGACCCGATAGAATTTAAAGCAGTAATTAAATAAAGTCTGGGTGAATATAAAAGGCAGGCAGAGCTACATTTGAACCGTTTCTAAATAATAATCCATATGATTATGTTGCAAAATACAGCAAATGGCTTTTTCAATACAACAAACTATATCAACACAGTCTATAGGGTCCTGCTTTAAGTTAATATTCTTTTCATTCGAAATAATTCATTACATAATATTACACAATTGAATGTTAATAATGCAAGTATTATGTCATATAATTACATTATAATAACATAGTAATAACATATACACAGTATTTATACAATATACATAACATACAAGTTCACTTCATCATTTTTTCATTATAAAACATGTCGACCAAATAACATTTAAAAGTCAAACATTAGATCATTAGATCATTTATGTCAGTAATTGGTATTATGCATCAACTTTGATTACCTTTGCCCAAATAACGGGTCTTGTCATTGTCACGGAGCTCGAGGGCCTCATAGATACCAGTGGAAGCACCGCTGGGCACTGCAGCTCTGAAGAGACCTTGGCAATGAATGAATAAATAAATAAATAAATAAAAAATTTCACATCCTACAGGCAGATCCAGCCTACACACCTGCCAGTAGTCAACATGACTCATTTTCCCACAATTCCCTTCTCTCACACGAATGACGTACTCAGTGATGTCACAAAAATGTCTTCCACATGAAGGACACACATAAACCCCACCCCACTCTCATATACTGCAGCGAAGAGGTTACATAACAGCTCTAGCGACGTACACATTTTTAGGAAAGAATGCTGCTTCCATGTTCGTGTTTTTTTTTGCTCATAAAAAAATGCCTAAATCATTTCATTGTCAGGGAACAAATCCCCACAGAAATCACTAATCCACGAGCATACTGCTTTACAAGGTCAGCTCCTGTCCTGAACAATGCGGAGGGGGTTTCCTCCAGTGCAGCCTACTGTAATGACGATCAGATCTGAGGATGCCCCACTTGCCAACACATTTCGACTCAACCACGTGTGTCAAATCTGCATGTGCAAAATGTTATTCAGTGTGCTCAGCTAAGTGAAAATCACAGCAGAGCCAGTGTCAGAGTCTGCAGATCAAAACGGATTTAGAGCTTAACCAAAGACACATTAGTGATTTGGGCCGTGAGTCTTAGCTTTAAAAAATTTAGCTGTGCCGCAAAACCATTGTTAGACTATTCATAATACATATTGTCAATCTAAACACACATGGCAGTCAGGTGTGCCTTAATCCAGTGCTGAGATGATGACTGCTTTTAGAAATCACAGCAAAAGGGATTAAATGTTTTTGGAAAGACCACCTTGTGTACCAGTTTTCAAAGTGTATATACCTTAAACCTGTAAAAAGACCACCAGAGTCTTTTTTCAGTACTAATTCAGAGTCACAACACAGTGATTTTTTTTTAATTGAACCAAGTGTGTAAAACCAGGAGGGCAGCATGATTGCTATGTGCAAGGCTTGCAATGTCAAGAGACAATCATCCACATGCTTATCATTAAAATCAAGTATTCTCCAAAATAAACTGCAAATGCTATTAACACTACAGCCTATTGTGTTGATTAGGGTATCCCTCTTACTGCAGCAAAACAGGAATATGCAGTTACTGTGTTACATCTGAATGAGGTGAATTTGTTTGCTAACTGATCCAGTTAACATGAAGAATCTGGTTGAGAGTGAAGATACATACCACACCATCCCATCTCAGCCAAAATAGCTCATAGCTCAAAAACAGAAGAAGGCTGAGCCACCAGTCAAACTGCAGGGAAAGAGGCTCTCCCAGTTTTCAGGGCATTGTAAATGGAGCGCCCATACCTCCACTATTAGCTATTCACTGAACTTCATTAACAGTCTGATCATTTGGTAGCAGCTCAACTGCTGCATTGCTCTAGATAGCCACGCATGAAAAAGCTGAACAAGCTTGAGATACAACTCAGTGTTTCAGAGTCAGATTTGTCTGTTATGGCTTCTAACAACCAGCGTTATTCCCTCAAAATGGACAGTGATACTTTAAAATGAACATATGTAAAGGGACTGTATAAAGTCAATTTGCAAACTTATTTTATGAACCACTACAGCAAAACTGTAGGGTACAGTAAGGTGTAACGTAACTAAGATGTGTAGTCAGTATACACCATTTTCCAGTGAGCAGCAATGCAATCCAAGCTGTATACCATTACAAGGGCTATTTTTAACCGTCTACCACCTGATCTCCCTCTTTCAGGCCACTGGACACCACACTGATGAGGCAGAGCAGTTTGACGGCTCAGTTTTTTGAAACAGCCACTGTATTAAGCATGTGTAGCGTCCGTTCCCAACATATTACTTTAACGTGTCTGTCTCAGCCTTTGCATTGATGATTGCTGTGATGGACTGTTTCATGCTGCTTTGGGAGACGTCTACATCCTTGAGACTATTATATGTGTGTAATTATGTGGATTTAAGCAGAGATGGAGATGGCCAGTTAATTCATTTTGAAGCAAGAAAGTTTTATTTAAACTGAGGACTAGGCTTAAACATAGCAGCCTAAACACGCTAAAAGCTAACAGGCTAAACTGCTCCTCCATTAATACTCAGTGTTAGGCTTTGTTTTGAAGTATTTATTGACTGATTTGCAGCGAAAACTAAATTAACATTAAAGAATTTTTACTTGAATGTCTTAGACGCGTCCATGTTTTTGTAGATCTGCTTTAAGCAGAACTAAATCCATGGTGAGAATAAGAATATGTGGTAACACAATAGAGGAAATCACATTGCAACACTAGAGGAAATTAGTTTATTGCTTTAGTACATGGAAAAACAGACACTCCCTAAGTTTGAATTCCAACTGTATGTTACCTTTCTTAGTGTAGAGATCAACCTCAACCGTGGGGTTTCCACGTGAGTCAAAAATCTCACGAGCGTGGATCTTCAGGATGGACATGTTGCAGGATCTGCAAAAAAAAAAGCAAAAAAGATGACAAACCATGCTAAAAAAACCAATGTGGTACTAATTCTGGTGCTGGTGAGTAAATGAAAGAAAACAGGCCAAAACAATGACTGAATAGTTAATATGCCTTATGGGATTTCACATTTTACACTACCTTACAGAAAAGAGTAGCACGGTATGGGGAAAAGGAAAAAAGCACCATGACTCAGTCTAGCCTAAATGTGTGATTCACTCTAGTACAGAAACCACTCGGCTATGGAGGGACTGACTCAATGAAGGTGGTCTTTTTCCTGAGTTACATCAGCACACACGTTTCTCCTTCTTACTAGGCAGCCATTACCAGGTCTTCGCTCCAGCCCGGTTAAGACAGGCATAGGATTTAAAACTCCACTCTCAAGTCATGAAGGCCTTATGATATCAACTCACAGCAGAAGTCATAACCACTGATGTGCACATGATTCAGCCATATGCGTTAGTACTTTTTCCTCCCTGAATAAATAAGTGACTAGAAGATAGATGCATTTCCAAAAACTGTAACCACGTGTGAGGGCACTACTAGTACTGCTCATTTTCCACTGTTGGAGCCATTGGTACCACACTATACTACACTACATCGCATCATACAATACCAGAACTGGAAGTCAGGCCTACAGCTCAAAAACAGGGACAGGAAGGTACTGTTTAAGAAACAAAATGATCAAGATTACAAAAAATCACTACAGAATAGGATTTTTAAGACCAATTTTTAATGTTAAAGGGACCAAACTCAGGACATTAAGACAATTCAAGTATGATGCTAATAAATCCATAACATACACATGAATTACAGCTGAACCAATCGAAAATCCTGTGGCCTTAAATGTCAGTGGAAATTTGCCACCAGCAACTACACAGCAGGCAGGGTTAAGCCAGAGACGGACAGCAGCACATGCGCCAAATGCTCCTGCGCCCCTGCAGAGTGCACTGTTTTAACTGGGGCAGTCTGGATTTAATGGTAGAATAGTGTGCATAACGTTACCTGATCATTATAAAACCATAAACAATTACACTTTACACTAAATTAGTCATCCCACCCAGGAGCAAAGCACCTTCAAATGCACTTGGCTCTGATCTCAGCCTATGCTCTTCCACTGAGGCTGAAACTGTGTAACTGTGGCAGTTAGTAACGCAGCCCAAAAAAGGCAAGATTACAAAATCAGTACTGCGTAAAAATCAGGACGTTAGCTAGATTAGTATCATACACGCCCTCCTATTGCAGGCCTGCTGGAGCTCAATGACAAACGTCTCGAGATCCTCTTTTGCAGGACCACTTTCGATTGTTTAATCGCGTGAAACACGGAAACTAATCAAACAGATTAAGAGAAAAACCGCTCAGATGCAACTAAACGTAAGTTATCAAACAGAAACAGCCGTTAGCGACCGTTAACATTCAGACTCGGAAACGAAAGGTTTGCCACGTTACGTTCCAGAACGTTCTGAACTTATGAAACGTTCTAATAACTTACATAGAACGATTCCAGAACGTTCCGGAATGTTTCACCAAAAAGCGCCCAGTGCTCACCCTCACTGACAGAAGGGCCATAAATGGACAGCTCCAAGTGAAGAGAGGAACTTAAAATATCATCCTTGAGGCTAAAAGTCAAAGCGAGTGGCGGAACCTTCACAGGAAGCGGATAAGAGCATCATGAGTCACCCTCACAGCGAGCTGAGAACGCCTGACATCCTGTCAAAAAACTGAACTTAAAGGAAAAATGACGGAAAGCTGCTCTTAGGATACCTAAAGCTACCGCTAGCAGTGACATTTCCTCGACAAAAGTGTTTGCAGACAAGCGCTGAGCGCTGCTCTCACCTTAGAGTGGCTGTGTGTAAGCGAAGCTGCGTCCTCACTCTCCGCCGCTGCAGCGAGCACAGAGAACTGATGGCTGCGCTGCTGCGTCCTGATAGGCGGAGAAAACAGCCAGGAAGAAGCGCACGTGACCGGTTCTGAGCGAGGTGATTGGCCAGACTGGTCTCACGCGGCTTGCTGCGGCACGTGCATGGAGAAGCGCACGTCTCCCGCAATCACGACCTCACCTTATTACAGTCATACAAGCGCAGCGTTTATCATGAAAAACATATTGTTTTGGGTTGTTGAACGGAGCGCCGTGGCTCTGTTTGCAGGGACAAAACTTCACATGAACAGGTTTGCGTCGGAAAGCCAGACAGACTGGAGTTTTTTCTGTGGTGTCCGTACTGCGGAGAGGTGTACGTGACGTGCGGCAGCTACAAACGGCGCTGCGTCACCGTGACTACCCACTACTTCCGTATGAAAGAGCTGCTGTTCATGTTTCACTGCTGCTCTGTATTCAGTAATTCCATTAACCTTAGCTGTCATTAGGCCGGCCACACGTTTGTAACTGTGTCTATTTTAAACTGGATGTAGAATACATGACATAGAATATCCTAGAACCCAGTACATGAGCTACTTAGGATGCTATACTGGTACACTGATGCTTCTCACTGGTAGGGGATGCAGTGTGGATGTGAACATCCTATATACAGTGTGTCAGCGCGTGATGGTGATGGCTGTAGACACCCCATCATACGTTCTTGCTAACATGTATTAGCATGTATATTATTTTTATGTTTATTTGTCTTTTTGTCTCACAGCCCACTTCAGAATAAATGGCACAAGTCATCTCCTGCATGTGTGAATATAAATGCAATTTCTTTATTTATTTGAGCTACATGTCAATAGATTTCACAGTTTAATGTATCTTACTGTAAAAAGCATTTACTGTTGATCAGCGATCACCAGCCCTGGTCCTGAAGATCTACTTCCCTGCTTAGCTCATCCTGCGTTTAACACGATCATCCTCCCTTTTACCTGATGCCAATACATCTGATCCAGGATCCTATCAAGGACTTCTGAAGAAGTTAATTAGCTGGAGCAGGTGTGGCAGATTGTGGCTGGAGTTAGACTCCACAGGGAAGTAGATCTCCAGGACCTGGTTTGGTGACAACTGCTGTAGATATATGGTGGATTTCTAAATGAATCTTAATGAAACCCAGTTATATTTTCCCATAGGCTCTCCTAATGACTCTTATGGGATGTTCCATAGGCTGTCCAATAGGATTCCTGGAGGATGTCCAATAGGACTCATATAGGACAGTAGTTCTCAAACCAGTCCTCAGGGACCCCCAGATGGTCCACATTTTGGCTCCATCCATATGTGTTGCAAATTAGATTGGAGCAAAAGTCTGGACAGTCTGGGGGTCAATGAAGACCAGTTTAAGAACCACTGCTCTAGGATGTCCAACAGGTTCCCTGTAAGGTGTGCAACAGGTTTCCTGTAAGGTGTGCAACAGGCTTCCTATAGGATGTCCAATGTCCAAAATGGGGTCCTTGTAGGTTGTCTAAATCTAAGGATGTCCTGTACAATACCCAATAAAATTCCTAAAAGGTGTCCCATAGGACTTTTAAATGATGCCGAATTGTTTTTCAGTGGTTCTTTAGTAAAGAAAATGGTTCTATATAGAACCATGAACATTCAAAGAACCCTTTCCATGATTAAAGGATTTTTGCATCGTGAAAGTGTCCTTCAGATTGATGGAGAATGTGCTGTAGATGGTTCTGTCTAGAACCTTTTTGAAAAGGGTTCTATATAGCACCAAAAGGGGGTCTTCTGTTGTTACAATGTCGAACGTGTAACAATAGAAGTTTTTTGGTGCTATGCAGAACCCTTTTCAAAAAGGGTTCATTTTCTTCACTCAAGATCCCTTGAAGAACAATCGTTTTTAAGTGTGATGATGTCTAACAGTATTCCTAAAGGATGTTCAATGGGACTCCAGTAGGAATGACTCCAAAATATGATACAGGTCCTTTAAAATTGCCACAGGATTTTATTCTATTTGAATTCTTTAAGATTATTTTAACAAAGGAGAAGTCTTTTAATTCAATATATTTCATTAATATGCCAAATGTCTACAGACAGATATATAGGTAAATACTTTATTGATCCCTTAGGGGGAATCTGGGTACAGGTTGCAAGAGCAGAGGAAGAGCATAGGCAATAATAAGCACACACAATAACATCTACTACATTATTTACACATACACAGTGCAAAAACAGCAGCGTGCTAACATGACATAGTGAGAAACATTAAATCAACTTAATTCAGCATTCATTTGTAGCAGACTATACATGTTCAGAACAGTCTGTACAGAAATGTATCCTTTCAAACACCTTTTGAACAGTATGCAACGTGGATAGCCTGCATGATTCGTCCATTCATTCAGCACACACTGTTTTATGTCAGATTTTCCCCACATGAGGGTAATTCCCTCTTTGCTCATTTAGGAGCTTCTTTTTGAGGGCTGGAACTTCTCCACGGTTCTCTCTGGTTTCTGTGATGCTGTCAGTGATGCTGTGGGTGTGCAAATCCGAGCACCCTCTATGGCCGCCTGCTGCAGTGGGTCACCTTGAGAAAAATCCATTCTGTAAGTGCGCCATCTGGTGTTAGCTCTGAGAATAGCACTGCAGAAGGGATTTCCTGTCAAAGGGCATTTTCTCAAGCTCCCTCCCACGAGCAGATGTGTAGCTGAGCTAAAATAATGAAAATCAGCCAGTAAGTCTGGCTGATATAATAGGAAAAGGGGCACATAATAGATAATTGTTATTATATTATATTAAATCATGCCTTATCATATTATATTAAATAATATTATACTGTATTACGTTACAATTGAATAAAAATGCTTACATCAGTGGTCTCCAACCCTGGGATACCCTTGCCACACTTGCTTTGACTAATCAGCCTCTTTTCCGATCCCTGATTGGCTGGATCAGATGTATTAGAGTTAGGTAAGGGGTGGGCAGCTTATTGGATACAGGTTAGAACTAAACTCTGCAGGACGGTAGCTCTCCAAGACCAACGTTGGAGACCACTGTTTACATAATAATGTTACATAATGTTACATGATGCATTATAAGTTGGATCATAGCTTACCATGTCATATAATTAGCTGTGAGCTGTAAAGCACATGTTAAATGTGTCTATAATCAGTAAATGTTTCATTACAGTAAATTTATTATTTCTGCAAAAATAAATGGGTAAGATGTATATCATTCAGAGTGGTTTGATGTGAAGCGCTCCGTTCTAGAGAAACATATTGAATGAAAATTGTTCAGACTCAGAACCAGAATCAATTTATTACTCCAAGCAATACACATACAAGTAATTTGTCTTGGTGAGTGCATGCATGTATGGCATGCAACATACTGAATGCACACAGATAACAAATATTTAACTAATAGAATAAAATAGAATTAGCTGAAAAAAGAATAGTAAAGAGCCAATGTGAAAGGAGCTAAAGAGATGTGTGAAAGTTTGTATATATGCAAATATAAACATCTATACAAATGGTGGTTGGAGGAGACATAATATAATGTAATATCTATTATATACAGTGTATTACAAGATGATGACTGAAATGTACAGTTATGCAAATAAGCATTGTGGTACAGAGGAGTTATGCTGTAATACTGTAAGGGAGGTTTGTTAGGTTCAATTTAAGTTTAAAGTGTGATGTGTCCGAAGTGGATGACGAGTACTACAGCTCTAGGGTAAAAGCTGTTAGCATGTCTGGTTGTGCTGGTTTTGATGGCTCTGAATCTTCTACTACAGGGGAGTGGCTGGAACAGGAGATGTCCAGGATGAGAGAGGTCAGCAGTAATTTTGCCAGCATGCTTCATCGCCCTCCTGTTGTGGATGTCTTGAAGCGTTGGCCAGATTGACCAGATGTTTATGGATGACTTGAGGATAAACTTGGTGAAAGCTGTGTAGAACTGGATCATCAGGCTCTGCGGCAGGTTGAATTTCTTTGGCTGTCTCTGGAACATTCTCTGCTGTCCTCTCTTGGCCATGGAGTCTGTGTTGCTCTCACACTTCAGGCCCCTAGATATGGTTGTTCCCAGGAACTTGAGTGACTCCACCATGGAAACCACAGAGCCATTGATGTTGAAGGGGGATTTAGACAGGGGGCTTGCGCCTGAAGTCCACCACCATCTGTACAGTCTTTTGTGTGTCCAGCAGCAGGTGGTTATTGCTGTACCAGGAGACCAGCTGCTCAACTTCCCTTTTGTAGGCTGACTATGAGGCCCACCACAGTTGTGTCATCTACAAACTTGAGGATCTTCACAGCTGGTTTGTTGAAGACATAGTCATTGATAGAGAGACTGATGAAAAGGGGGAAGAGTACACAACCTTGTGGAACTCCAGCACTGAGGGTCCGGGGGTCTGATATGTGCTATCTAAGGGCGTTTCACACTTGGGCCATTTCAGTGTCTGAAGTGGACTCAGACTGCTGAGTCATGGTTTCTTTTGCATATGTGAACACGCCAAACGAGCTCAGACCCCCCTAAACAGCCCCAAAAACGAACCAAACTGAGACCACCTCTCACGGTTCGTTTGTAGTTCGTTTTGTGGTTCGATTAATTTGTGCATTGTGAAAACAAAACGGCCCCAGTCCGCTTTAGCTTTGCTTTATGGTGAAGACCTCGTTGCTTTCCGTACACACAGCCACAAGACTGTGCACTTCAGCAGGTAAAACAGACCAAGGATCATTTATACGGTTCTACTCAGGATAAAGTCTGATCTGAGACAGACAGCAGCGCTGACATATTACTTACATTTACTTACATTGTGAACACAAAAAGAACTGAGGTCACTTGCAGTTGGTTCACTTTAACAAAACTCGGTTCGGTTCTTTTAAAACGAACTATATGTGAAAACACTGTAGGCCACACCTGCTGTTTCCTATGCTCCTATTTGTGAGGAAATCTGTGATCCACTGCCAGATGGGGTCTGGCACAGACAGCTGGCCTGCAGCAGCTCAGGCACTGTGGTGTTGAAAGCAGAACTGAAGTATACAAACAGAACCCTAGAGTGGGATCCAGGACTGTCGAGATGCTGTAGCATGAAGTGCAGGGCTGAGCTGACCACGTTGTCAACAGACCTGTCAGCTGCGGGGGCTAGGAACCAGACGTGCACCTCTACAAGCTTATACATAAAAAGGTATTACAGGTGTTTAACAAGAGTTTTGCCATATAAAGTAATTTTTTAAAACACATACAGGGTGGAAGGGACAGGCAGGACATGGTAAGGCAAAATAAGTCTCCAAAGAAAACATTTTTTTCAAATTTATCACTATAATATCATTATTGTTTTAACATTACATACACTGTAAGAAAGGCTCGTCAGACCTACCTAAAAAAAATTACTTAATGTGGTAACGAGTATATTAATTAGTTTTATTTATCTGATGAGCCATTTTATAAAAACTCAAAAGACAGGTTTATGAGTCAAAAGGTGAATATTTCAATGTGATCTTAACCGGTATAGCTTTCATATCACGCATCAAAGGTATGGGATTTTATCAGGATTACAGTTGACTAGTATGCCATCAGTTTTCAGAAGGAAAGCAGGTCAAAACACACCTCAAAGTGTACCAGAATCTGAAGAAGGAGGAAACTGAAAGAACAACCCGAAAGCCATCTTGTAAGAGAAAGCAAATTGTACTACTACATTAGAGCTGTGAATGACATGGGTAATTTCCAGCAAGAACTTGTTAACCGACTGACTTATGTTTATGAGGCTTTTATGAAAGGAAAGGCTGGCCATTCTGAGAAACTTGAGAGTTAGACATTTTTTTTCTAAATCATTAAGACATTTTACTTTAAATCATCTGTGACATGGCTTTGGTAGTTTACATGCTTTTCAGATAATGTAAAACACTGTGAATTTTGAAAGCCCTACACTTTGGATCTCGTCTTCCAGATTGAAGCCAAAGTAGGAGACATGAGCTCATGCAAACAAAATGCCTTTGGTCAGCAAATAACCTCAAAATATTAATTTAAATTTTTAGTCTAACAGAATCATTTTAAGCTCAGAATAAAGGCAGAGAGAGCAGCTTATATAATGTGTCACCCATTTAGAACTTATCACATATAGACAGATCAAAAATAATTTCAGTTCTTGCTTGGTTTATCTTGTGACGTCATGCTAAAATGAAAGGTCTATATGCTTTTTACGGCAGCATTAGGTCAGTGTCTGTCTGGCGTTATAGCCGTCCTACTCCTGAATGATGTAGTGACCACAAAGGCCAAATAACTATATGGTAACTACATGTTCTCACACCTTGGCTACAGTGATTGACGTCCATCGGTAAAAGACAAAGATAGAACAGAGAAAACACACACATATACGTGTGTGTGTGTGTGTGTGTGTGTGTGTATGTGTGTGTGTGTGTACAGCAGAAGTTTGAAAGGATAATTCACTCTCCACTCTTCATGAAAAGCAATGAAAGAGAAATATTATGTCTTGCTCAGCTTTTGTGACAGCATACAATGCTAACATTGATTTATTAATTTCTATATTACATTTTTATGTTATATTATTAATTACAGGTAAATACTAAATACTCTATTTCTAGAAGAGTTGTGTATAGGAGATGGAATATCAAACTCAAAAAACGAAATGTCAAACAAAAAAAAGCATAAGTAACATTAACATAAATGAGATGAATTAATAATTATTCAAATAAACCCAATCAACAAAGTTTATGGACCAAATTCAGTGCATGTTTATGTTAAAAATAATATTAACAACAATACTAATAATATAAACATGATCTTATTGGTTAATGTTTTTTTTCCCCTGCTGGTGACTGTGACATAATCAGAAGGTGAACAAAAGTTCCCACAACATGTCTCATAAACTGACTTGTGAATTATGTGAGGTGACTTGGTTAGAGGTAAGAATTTGCTACTGTCCCTATAGGATTCTAGTATTTGTTAGCACTAAGCTAACGGCCATTTGCAGCGGGTTGGTTATGGTATGGGGGACAGTATAAGGGGGAAACCCTTGCATTAGTGGTGTTTTACAATAGTATATATTACTGTTGTTGGACCAAAACCTCCATTTTTGCCATTTTTCATTTGAAAATGCCTACTGTTCTTTATACTGTGTGTAAATTTCACACACAAAATATCACCGATGTTTTCGAAATAAGAAATTCTTGCTATGTTTTACTGTACTTATGATTATTTGCATTTATTCTTGTGATACATGGTGATTTTACAAGCTTAGGGGCCTAAAACCTTTGCACAGTACTGCATGTACATATGCCTCTTCCATACTACAGGACGCTTTACAACCGTAGACCATAAAACATAAAACAGGAAGCTGCAGCAGCACATTTAACTACGCAGAGACAGTTTGAGACATCAGTACATAAACAGTGAGAGAGCAACACATAAACAATACATTCAAAGACAGACGCAGGAGTCAGAGCACAGGGATACAAATGAGCCCATAGTAAAAATTTGAATACTGTTACAGAGGAGACACACAGAACTTCAGGCCTGCCATGCTGGAGATCAGCGTAAACTTGAGAATCTGAAATCATGCTTCATTACATCACATCTGTTCTTGGCGTTGAACTTGCCCTTTAAAATGTCCCTCTAATTCATTCAACAGAGAATGATGTGCATTCTTAACACATGCTGAAACATTTTGGAATAAAATTCATGTTGTGGGTTTCAGTGAGCATTAATTGCATAATCCTGAACAAACTCAACAGGTTTGCTTCCCTATTGAGGGAGGCATGTCTGCTCTTGTTGGCCTCTAGTTACTTCCTTAAGGGCAACAACACAAAGATCAACAAATAGTCTCTCAGTGGGGCATAAATCCATTCACAAAACATGGAGGAAGTTTTTTTATGCACCTAAATGAACACTTAAACCAGTTTAACTCTTTGGAGCCGGTATGAGAGCAGACCAACTATAACATCGGTATCACTTGGGAATTCTTAGATGCAGAGAATACTAATAAGAAGTCATTAATATGGCCTGCAAACTCTCATTATTCTGTAATGACATATACAAGTACATGCCAACCACACTGACAAGCTCTCTGAATGTCACTGAATGGCCTCTAACAGAGCCATTGTGAGCTCAACTACACTCAGTCTGTGAAAGGTTGATGTAAGTAAATAACTGGGCTCTGCTGTTTACATGACATGTCTGTCAGTGACGTTTTCTTTGTGCTGTCACAAAGAGAGAAGATGCACTCAGTCGTCATCAGTTAGACTTATTTATACACTGGAGTGAAGTAGGAATAACAGTTTACTTAAGAGGGAATGGAGCATCCCTTCAGAATAAACCATCTAATGTGATAACTGAGTGAAAGCACATGGCAGTGTGCAGTTCTCCACCTAACTCCATCTGCTTCTCAACACACAAGCCCACTGGCAAACAGCAAACTGCTGCTCTGTTTCTACATGCCCTTGGCATTTCATGTGAAAAACTCTTTCCTAACAGCCTGTGTGCTGTTATTTTTCCCACCCGTTCCCCTACTAGCCCCACCCTCCTGTGCTATTGTGCTGTTAGCAAGTATGCACTTAAAAAATTGGAACAAGATATGATTTATTTTTCAGTGTTTTCACAGACTACATGCTGATTCATTGCTGATATATGATGCGCGTACTTGTGTGACTAAAGAAAACATATATCCCTAGTGATATACAAGACATTTCAAGTGTAGAATGGATTCAAGGTAGTGCAGGACAACATACTGTGTATACTACAGTATGAATTGAAAAATTTATTTTAGCTTCATCGGTATCAGTGCAGTGGGTAGCGCTGTTGCCTCAAAGCAAGAGGGGCCTGGGTTTGATTCCCAGCCGGGTGACCAGGGTCCTTTCTGGTGGAGTTCTCCGTGTGTCTGCGTGGGTTTACTCCCACAGTCCAAAGACATGTGGCTAGGCCAATTGGACATGCCAAATTGCCCCTGTGCTAAATTTTATGTATGTATGTATGTATATGTCTGTGTGTCTGCCCTGCGATGGACTGGCGACCTGTTCAGAGTGTTTCATGCCTTCCGCCCAATGACCGCTGGGATAGGCTCCAGTACCCCCCGCGACCCAGAAGAATAAGCAGCTTAGATTTTTCAGATTGTTTAAAAAAAAAAGTTAACTTGAACGTGGAAAAAAAAGTTAACCTGAACGTCTCTTTCATTCTTTGTAGAAATCAAAATTAATAAATAAGTTTTCTTGCTGGAAATCAGGTGGGATGAATTTAACCCAGTTCTTTAGGTTACTTTATAAGCAACAAAACGATATTTTTTCAGAGAGAAACACTTTTAGCCCTTAATCAGACCAATGAATACCAACCAGACTGCACTACTGTACTGTACAGAGGTAGAAACGTCAAAGCTGGGAGCTGTTTTTCCTACAGTAGTGTCAGTGGCCTTCATGATGGGATCATGAACTCCGCAATGTATAAAGCATTTAATGCTGAAACTTTAACAATCTGTTTGGTCTGTTTGGTGAATGCCACTGAAATGGATGTCATTTGGTTTGATAATTTTTGCTTAACACAATTAAATACATTTTTAAGTAAGCACAAATGTCCAGATACTTTCTGGGGGCATTATAATAGAAAATATGATGATATTCATTTTTACACCCACCACCTACAGTCAAGCATTGTGCGTCTTTTTTTAAAGAAAGAAACCTTAAGTAACTCATGTTTTTTCCAGCTGCAGTTGATTTTTAATGAATTCTCCCCAAATGAGCAAAAGTAAACAGTGCACGGGTGTTTCTCGCGGTGATCCTGCAGGATGCTGCTGGCCAATCCCAGCTCAGGGGGCGGGGCCTGTCGGAATACGGGCGGGAAAGATAACTCGGCCTGCGTCCCGGAGAGCGGAGCAGTGCTTCACTGAGGAGAGCGACTCTGGGTCAAGACCGAGCTACACACACACTCACACACTCACACACACACACCGCCGCACAATGGAGCTGTTTCCCCTGCTCATACATCTCCTTTCGGCGAGCTTTGCCTTGGCTGGAGTGCACTGGACTTATAAAGGTGAGTGAAAACGTTTGAGACGTTTACATTTTAGTCAGACTAACGGTGGCAGCCGTACTTCCAAAAAAGATGTATTACTAATTCACGTATTGCTTTTTAAAAACCCTGTCAGGATTATTTAGCCTACATTCTTAAATAAGAGGGTTCTTTAAGGGTTCTTTAGTAAAGAAAAGCTCTCTATAGCACCAAAAAGGGTCCTTTTATTGTTGTGAAGTCAAGCTTAGAATCTTTTTTGGTGCTATATTTAACCCTATGCAAAAAGGTTCTATAAAGAGACTATAACACATTCTCCATGAGTCTGAAGAACCCTTTTATGATGCAGAGAACCCTGTAATCATGCAAAGAGTGCTCATGGTTCCATACAGAACCCTTTTCTTTACTAAAGAATCCTTGAAGAGCCATCTTTTTTAAGTGTGCTATAACCATATGTTGATATTCTTAATATAAAGATGTGCTCTAATTATCAGAGGTGTTTTGTTATTGTTGTCTGACACATAATGGGTTAAGCCTTGTGTGGTGTTCAGGTCTGTGGCACACATTTTAATGTTTACCAAAAGAAAAAATGATGCAATTTATTACTATTTCAACCTCAGACTCCTTAGCATTTGCTTATTTGCTGTGAAAACATATAAAATAACGCTTTTCAATGACTTCACACTGTAACTACACATTTATATTACACATGTGTTGGGCAGAACCCGTGGGGAGTAAAAGTGTGGAGGTGCTGTGTCCTTCACTCTGTTCTCCTCCTACATGGCCTGCTGTTAGTGTGTGTGTGTCTGTGCGTGTATGTGTTTGTATATGTGTGTGTGTGTGTGTGAGGGTGGACAACACGGACAGGCTGCTGACTGGCTACAGCTGCTAAAGGAGAACCCTACACTGGTCACTTGTGATATTTTAAACATCTGATATTTTTACATAAATTGTTGTGGCTGTGTTGATGAAAAAACTGTAATGCGGTGGGTCCACCAGACCACTGAGTAACAAAAACATCAACACCACACAAGGGTTAAGATGAGGTGATAACACACTTATCATTATTATTATTGTATTATGAATTAAATCACGATGCGTGAGAATGCAGAACCTTCATTTAACCCCATTCTGTTATGGATTCAGGCATGATGGGGCATTAAGTAATAAAGGACAATGCATTATGTAATATTGCAGGCCTTAAATGACCTTTAATTTCCCACTACAAATACTGAAAATGATTCTGCTTTCACTCCCTTACTTTGCTTGGTTCTAGAGACTTCATTAGTGGGCATCAGGTGAAATTGGATCGATCCATAGTGTGCCCTTATTATTATACAACATTATAATATTTTAATAGTGCTGTAGAAAACTTCTACAATGTTTCCATGCACGTGTAATATTCCTGTCCTCTTGTAATCTCCTTGTTATAATGTTTAATAGCATGTTATATCCTGTAGTAACCTTAAGTGTCAACATCTAAAGGCAGTAGCTCCTATATATTTAAAGACTCCAAGTGGTATGAACTCACTGATACCCGTATAGAACGTTTCCCCATTGAATTAAATAGGAATAACATCAATCTACTCAACACTGCTTTTCTTTGCTGATGTTCTTCTGGTAAACATACTAATTTTTTCATTCAGTTTAATTAGCAGTTTACCAGCTGAACAGTCTCTCAGAATAGGCCAGTTAAATACACATACAAACACAATCAATGGCAGTCAGAGAGAGAGAGAGATGGAGAGAGAGAGAGAGAGAGATACACAAAGAGCGAGATGGAGAGAGAGGAAGAGAGAGACAGAGACAGAGAGAGAGAAAGAGAGGGAGAGAAAGAGAGGGAGAGAGACACATAGAGAGAGAGACAGAGAGAGAAAGAAAGAGAGAGAAGAAGAGAGAGAGGGCAGAATCAGGCTGTGATCTGTGATGAGCTGACTTTGCTAATAATTTTTTCTGTAAGTTACGTTCAGGAACAGGTGTGTTTTTTCTACAACCCCCCCCCCACCCCCAACCCGTTCTGATCATATTACCCTTCATATTTAAAAAAGAAACAGAAAAATAAATCTCAGTGTTACAGAATTATTGGTCAGAGTTCCCTGGGGAACCTGTCAGACTAGATCCCTAGACCCCTATACCAGCCTTATATTTCCATGATTACCACAACACCATAATGTTTATGTGGAAATCATATCGGCACATAGTAAACATTAGCCATTATGATTTTACCATATGATTTTTATAGGACTAAATTCCTGTAATGTTACTATATTTCTTGTTCATGAGGGATAGAGGTTTTATTGGCCTATATTATTGGTGTCACTTAAACATTGCCTTCAGTGAAGCACTACAGCGTGCCAGATGTTAGCTGATGTGATTTTTCGATCATAAAGGCATGACATGAGTGTCAATTGCCATATGGCCTAATTTTAGTCATATATCTAGTGAGTGTGCCAGATAAGTGAATCGGGCAGTTCTCAACCACAAGCCAGACTCTGGTTTCAAACATCAGGGTGTTATGAAGAGGCTGATAGTCTGGAGCTTCTTTCCCACACAGTGCAGTCCAGAGTTGCGCTGCGGACAGTGGAAAAAAGGCGAGAGGCCCCACCACCTTTTACCCTCATTGGCCAAAATGTCCCTTGTTTTCCAGGAAGAAAAACCTACCTTGCGTATCGCCTTCCGTGTCAACAATCCCATGACGAAATGTATTTGTTTTTAGTTTTTTAAGCTCTGAAGTCCTTGAGTATAAACTGACCAGCTCCTTTATCAAGTACACCTTCTTGTATCTACACTCATTGTCCATTTTGTCTGGTCCACAAACCAAAGGTCGACAATTACAGACTGTCCATCTGTTTCTACTTCCCTGTTCATCAATGATCAGGACCCCCACAGGCCATGACAGAGCAGGTATTATTTGGGTGCTGGATCATTCTCAGCACTGCAGTGACAGTCACATGGTGGTGGTGTGTTAGTGTGTGTTGCGCTGGTATGAGTGGATCAGACACAGTCGTGCTGCTGAGTTTTTAAACACCTCATTGTCACTACTGGACTGAAAATGGTCCACCAAACAAAATTATCCAAGCAACAGTGACCTGTGACCACTGATGAAGGACTACAGGATGACTAACACAAACTTATTGTCTCTGACATTATATCTACAAGGTGGGCCAACAAAGTAGGTGTGTCTAATCGAGTAGACAATGAGTGAATACAGTGTTTAAAAACTGCTGTGTCTGATCCACTCATACCAGCGCAACACACCACCACCAAGTCAGTGTCAATGCAGTGCTGAAATGATCCACCACCCAAATAATACCTGCTCTGTGGGGGTACTACTGGCATCCTGATCCCTGAAGAAAAGGGGAAAAAGGAGCTAACAAAGTATGCAGATAAACAGAGGGACTACAGTGTGTAATTGTAGAATTGCAACCCCTATATGATAAATAAATGGACTTAATAAAATGGACAAAGAGTGCAGATACTTAACGAAGTGGCCAGTTTGTGTATAACTGTTGTAACAAAAATGTATCCTGGTCATGATAAATGTAGGCCTATTGGTGGACAAAATCACAGTGTATCTATTTTTAGGCTGAAAGATAACGCTGCCCCTTTAAATGCAGACTCCGCAGCTACTAACAGCAAGACACAACAGTTTTGCCATGTAACTGCGAACAAACAGTAGTAATGCATCTGGAATGTGATAAAAGATAAACTGGAGTGATGCATGGGTTGTGGTGGTTGGCTGTCAGAATGGTGGCCTTTTCTTGCATGTCCGTGCTCAGGCGCGTGTAACCGTTTCCCTTTTCCACAGAGGGGGATTTGGACCAGATGCACTGGGCTGAACAATACCCGTCCTGTGGAGGGGAAAAACAGTCCCCCATCGACATCCAGCGACGTACAGTCCGCTTCAACCCAGACCTGCTGCAGCTTGAGCTCACTGGATATGGAGAACACAAGAATGGCAACTTCCTCATGTCCAACAACGGCCACTCAGGTACAGACTTCAGCTCACTGTGGCCACTTGAGCTCGCTAAAGAGGGGTTCTGGTTCTCTTCATGGCTCTTAGTGGTTCAAATGTAAAGCAAATGCACTATAATTTGTTAACTCTTGATTTTGCTGGGGCCAGACGCTGGTGGTGACCCCACTTTCTCCCATTACATCAGCTGATTCATTTGAGCTGAAGGTCAAATTCAACTTCGAGTAAACAGATGTAAGATTACATGGTAAGTAATGGTGATCAGTTCCCAGTCAAACTGCAAATTTCAGCCCACGGTTTCGAGGAACACTATAGCCCACTGTTAAAGTAAGCTATGGCTTCATTTATATCTGATTCATGGAACTGGACTGAAGGTGGTGAGTTGTAACTCACATGAATGCCAGTACAGCTGAGATGGACATAAATGGTCAGTTATCATACTGCCCTCTCAAGTGGCTCCAGCACTTTCAGGGCTTTGAGTGTTCTGCTTATAAGGCATGTCAGGCACCTCAGGCTCAGCCAAACCATTTAAGAATGCAAAAATACTAGTATGAATATTTGTATATTGTTTTATTTTGTTTTTTACCCAAATTTCAATAATACTTTTATCTGAAGGACAACAGGTTTATAGACCTATGAGTTAAGTTAATAGGAATCATCCTGAATGTTTGTGTCTACAGTCCAGTGAGTTTCTTGACCTTGTTTCATGTATTTCCTTTTTCTTATTTTGTTACTAAGAACATACTAGACAATGTGGGTGATATATGTTGTTGCTGGAATTTCCAAATGGCTGAAATCATGTTTAGATCCACTCCTCCAAGCTTGTTAAAATAAAAGGAAATACATGGAGTAAGTCAAAGCAAGCTATATTCTTAAAGTTTTTACATTCTGTAACATTCACTTTTTATAGTCTCACTCATGCAGTTTCATGAATGCCTCTCCTCTAGAAAACCTCTCCCAGTTCTTCAGATATAAGATCTCTGATTTACTTTGTCTTGCTTCTCTCTTTTTTGTTTCAACAGTCCAAATCAACCTCCCTCCCACCATGAAGATAACGAAAGGGCTGCCACACTGCTACACTGCTGTTCAAATGCACCTGCACTGGGGTGGATATGACCTGGAGGCCAGTGGAGCTGAACATACTCTGGATGGCATCCGTTACATGGCAGAAGTGAGATATTTTCCTCTTTTTCTTACCTTTTCATGGCACTGACACAAAGCAGCTTTACAGAAATCAGGGTACAAGCCCCAAATAGTGAGCAAAAGGCAACAGTGGCAAGGAAAAACTCCTTAAGAGCAACAGGAAGAAGCTTTGAGAGGAGCCAAGATGTAAAAAGGGGAACCCATTCTCCTCTGTTTAATGCAGAGTAGCAAAACAATAGCACAACAGCAGCAACATAAATAAAGAGTAAGGATCTGACAATGAATATACAATAGTGAATATGGAATAAAGAGAAGATATGAGGCCCTCATTGGACAGAACCAATGATAAACGATAGCCACTGTTAGGAACCTTTCAGAGTGACAAATGAGGAATAGATCTATGAAAACCAGTGAGAAATTAAAAACATACATAAAAGCCAATGACTACTAATGACCAGTGACGTCTGTTAGAAATATGTGAATTTTGTCAGTTGTTAATTTGTTTCTTCTAGGTTGTCTGTTTCTGCTGTGGAGAGTGTTATACACTATAGTCACTATCGTCATGAGGAATCACTCAGACCGGAACCTTCTACAGCAGTTTTGGCTCATGCTAAACTGTAACTGCGCTCTTTTTCTGTTCTCTGTTGTATGTTTCACAGCTCCACGTGGTCCACTACAACTCCGAGAAGTACAAGAGCTTTGAAGAGGCTGTAGATCAACCAGATGGTCTGGCAGTTCTGGCCTTTTTCTATGAGGTGAGAGCTAAATTTAATACTTCACACTGACCTCTAATTATGTCAAATGCATGCCAGTTATAGGCAGCTATAATTGCTTCTTTCTTTGAGTTAATTTATACCTGAAATAAGAATAAAATAAAACAAAATCCATTTGGCTACAATACTGCCACCTTGTGGAATAAGGGTTTAAAACAGATTTCACATCACAAACATGCACTTGAAAACACAGTGAACAAATGCCAGCAAGATGATTTAAACCAATATCATTTTATTAAAATAATATAAATATGAAAAGTCAATCTGTAAGCTTATACAGTTATTATCACTAGTTATTGTCTTTAGCTAAAGCTGCATAGACATCTCCACCCTTAAAACACTATGTGAGCTAAATGGGGCCATTGATCCAGCCATTGCGTGTTGGCCTGCCAGCTTCCGTTTCAGTCCCAGAGGAGTAAATGCAGGTCGTCCACATTGGGGCCTGTCTGTTGTGGGTCACTGCTTTTGCTGCACTGCCACAGGCGTTCTCTTCAGCTCAAGTATGTAGTCCATCTGCAGCTCGTAGCGTCCGCTAATGCTTTACTAACAGCCAACCTTTGGATTGATTTGAGCCATTAAAGCTTAGCATAAGGTTTTTCTTGTTTGATACTAGGCCTGTCATGATCATGAGATTTTAGCTGATGATTAATTGTCATATAAATAATTGGGATTACTGATTTAATTGTATTTTCTTGTTTACTGAATGCAACTTGCAGTACAAGCTTGAAGTGGGCAAATTTGCTGACTAGAAATGATACACTACACGGCTGCGCGCCATCCCAGATGTCACAACACTAATGTCTACAGAATAAAGTATAGAGTCAAGCAAAGTAGCACAAGAGTGAAAATGTAAGCAAAAAAACACTAATATTGCTAGCATACATGTTAGAATTACCTACACAGCTAACAAATACACTAAATTTACTCAGTGCTGCCCTCTAAACAGGTTAAAAGTTGGAACTTACACTTTGTATATATTGAAATGTATCATAGTCTTCTATAGAGATGACTTCAACTCTTGTTTTGGAAAGTTGGATACACATGTAATCATGAAATATATGAAACTACACATCTAATATTTATTACCTTAGCAAGAGCAGAATGTTTAGGTGATGCTGGGCTTCTGCATTCATTTGTAACACTTCAGAGATCATGATTCTACATAATGTTAATCCAGGTACATGTAGACCCAAGTTATACATGTTCTAAAGCGTATATACAGTCGTGTACAAAAGTTTGGGCACTCATGGGCTCTACAGGGAATATACATTTTGTGCACTATTTATTTGCTAATTTGAATATATTGGAAAAAAACCTAAATCGTATATTAAACTCAGTTAAATTAAAATAGAAGTAAACAGAAATTGTGCACTAAAATTAGCAGAAAATGGCATTAACTGTGTTCTCTGTAGAGGATATGTTAACTTACTTTCACTTAGAAAATCATCAAAACATGTAATTTGACCAGGAGTGTTCAAACTTTAGCATATGACTGTGCACACATGAAAAATATCAGGTATCGTCATCAGGCCACAGTTCACATATCAGTGCATACCTAAAAATTATAGATACATTTGATTCAATGTCTTGAGTTCTGGGACATATTTTTATGTGTGATTTTGCCTTTATCTAGGACGGGCACTTTGAGAACACGTACTACACCGAGTTCATCAACAACCTGGCAAAGGTCAAATATGCAGGTATGTAATAGGAAGTTCTGCCCAAAGTGTGCAAAATTGATTCCTAAGGATGTTTGATCTGGCCTTCCAGAAAGTTACCCTAAAAATATATATATATATATATTGTAAAGTTGTAAAATTCAATTTGTTTTAATTTCATACGTTTGGGCACCCCTACCATAGATATTTTATTTCAATGTTTTCATGAGCAACTTCAGTCCTAACCCTCTTCCTCTGTGTCTCTTTTCAGGGCAGTCCATGAATATTTCTTCTCTAAATGTACGCTCCATGCTCCCTGAGAACCTCGCCAATTTCTACAGATATGAGGGCTCTCTCACGACCCCTCCATGTTTTGAGAGCATTCTGTGGACAGTGTTTGATACTCCTATCATTCTGTCCCACAACCAGGTACATCATCTCTCCTTGATTCAAACCCATCTTTTCAATCTTTTCAGGTGACGTTTTGTCAGATTAATAGTCATTGGCTGAAATCCACAGATTAGGAAGCTGGAGAGCACCATTATGGACCTTGAGAATAAGACTCTGTGGAATGACTACCGCATGGCGCAGCCTCTGAACCAACGAGTGGTGGAGTCCTCCTTCATCCCTCGCCTGGGCAGAGGCAGTAAGTACACCGCATCACATTTCAGCTGATCATGTTAAAAACAGCTGTAAAATTCTTGTATTCAGCTATATGTCTTATTTCCCCTTCTCTCAGCATTTTGTAGGCAAGAAGAGATTGAGGCGAAGCTTACGAACATCGAAACCATGATCACTTCTCTCGGCAAATATATACACTCAGGTATCGCTTACAGTAATCATGCTATCACGCTTTGAGGAAATGAATTATCTTACAGTTGTTATTCTGGCAGAACTTCCCTGATTCTCTTAACTGGTGATAAAACGCTTAGTCATTTTACAGAGGTGAGAATTAACCTTTCATTATCTTACTTGCTATTCAGGTGGTGACTCCAAGGACAGAGGCAAGGGTAAGAATAAAAAATATTTTAACCCTTAAAAGGTTACAATGGGTCATTAACTGGGAACCAAAGAACCAAAGATTTAAGAACCATAACCATAATGTGTTTCTGATGTTTTCAGTGGTCAAAAGACCTCCATGGATTTCTTTTAACATGATGCAAATGAGATGTGTGAGTTAACAGTTTGGTGATAGAAAGTATGAAAAAATGGTGGAATTTCCCTTCAAGCCAATGTTAAAGTTTTATGTTTAGGTTCTATAGTTAAACAGTTTCCTAGAACCATACACTACGAGTCAGGTACCATTTAGAAGCCTTTGTTTTTTAACAGATAAACTATTGTTACAGCAGTGATTTACTCTTGTCATTTCAGATCATGCCATATACCCACTGGTGCTAAACTTTCCTGAGAACAAGCTGGGCAGTTATGCAGTGGTCAACGTGGCTCACACCATGAACCTCCACTCCTTCACGGCCTGCATGAATTTGCAGATGCGCCCCCGTTCTGTGCACACGGTGCTGTCCTACTCCAACTCGGGCCACGACAACGAGCTCATGATCACCATGGGCCACGAGACAGGCCTCTGGATTGGAAATGAGTTTGTTAACTTACCTCATAGCCTCCACACCCACAACTGGGCACACTACTGCGTGACCTGGGCCTCTCACACTGGAGGAGCGGAGCTGTGGGTGAACGGCATTGTGGGAAATGAGCAGTATCTGCGGGCAGGGTACACTATCAAGGCCGGCGGTGTCCTCATCCTGGGGAAGGACCAGGACGGCTATCTGGGCATCTCAGACTCGGACGCGTTCGTAGGCCACATGACGGATGTGAATGTGTGGGATTATGTCCTGTCTGCCGACGACATCCAGGAGCAGATGAGCTGCGAGGACAATGTGGGGAAAGGCAATGTGCTGAGCTGGGGTATCACCCGCTTGAGCTTGTATGGAGGGGTTCAGCTGGAGACTGAACACAAGTGCTCCTGAGCCACTGGAACACAGGTTCAGCTAGGGGTGCACAATATATATAGGCAGCTGATATGTTATTGGCCGTTAAATTGGAAAATATGATTATTGTGATTGAAACTACATGTGATTATTACAACTAATAACTACGACTGCTCTGTTTGTATTTGCGCACACACTGATGCACATATGGTCACTTTTAATTCTTCTAAAGCTCAACGAAATGGATAGCACAGTGGATAACACCACAGGCCAACACATGGTAGATCAAAGATTCATGACATAAATCAGTTCATTAAGCCGTGTTCCTTTGGTTCTAAACCGTGTTATGGTCATTACACTCCATATATGGGCTATAATGTGAACTTAAAATGATTCATTGTTACAGTAAACATCGGCCTCAACAAGATGTCAATTATTGTTTAGCGTTATTGGCCTGGATATTCCATATCAGTGCATCCATAGATTCAGGTCTCTGTCCTGTTCTGAATGTGCTGTGGTCACATTGCTCTGACTCTCTGTGAACCACTGACTGAAGTGGTTCTTGGAGTATGATTTTATTCAGTTTTTTACTTCATTCATACTTAAAATGTCTCTGTTTTCTTTCACATCATATCTGTGTTTTGTATTCAATGAGCAAATCATATCTATATGAAATCAATAAACTTCATTATATATTTCATTGTGCTTAAAATGTCTCTCTCATATGTCACATCATAATAGAGTGTTATATGCTTCATATACAGTGAAAAATTCATTTACAAGCATTCAGTAAAGTTCATTAGTGACTTTTAATAGCATGAGTCTAAAATACAGAAACATACTGTATATACTTACTGTATATACTGAATGTTCAACTGATTTGAAGTGAACATAAAATATAAAAATAGGACCTAGAAGCAATCCAAGAGGATGTTAATAATAAAACCTGTTTCTAAAAACTAAATTAACTTATTCATTCAAAGACATTCTCTGTACCCTATAAACAGTACCTTTTCTTTAGTTTTAATCTGATATAGCTGCTCCACATGCAAACGTTAGGCTACAAAAATGCTTGTATAATTACTATTTACATATAAAATGCTAGAAGATAGCACTTGTACTATAATTACACTGGCTATTCGCCCTCAACCCTCAGGTGCACTTTAACGAACGGTGTCAAACATATAATTAAGCTTCAGTTGATGGTCTCCATATTGTGCGAGAAGCAGACCAGCTTGTTTTATGTTCTGGTGCCCTATAGAGTTTGAAGGCAGCCTGACCTTCTGGGCTAGCCCACTATAGCGAGAAAAACAGACACAGTCTTAAGTGGTAGTGAATTGATAAGACATGAGGCACTTCTTAACACTAAATTCATTTCAAAACAAGAAAAAGCTTCTGAATTTCAGACTTGCACTGAAGGTCTGACATAAAGAAGCACTTAGTCCTCGACGGTGAGGCAGTCTGCTTTCAGAAAGCTGTAATTACATCCTGCCTGTCGTCTCTCACTTCTGGCTCTTTCATCTTATGCTCCTCAGCCTCCACCACAATCTCCACCTTGTTCCTCGCAGCAAACAGCTTGCTGATCTCCAGGAAGGTGGTGTTCTTGGTTTCTGGGATGACCACCCAGATGTAGATGAGCGTGGCGAGGCAGATGAAAGCGAAGATGATGAAACTGTAGCCTCCCAGTCCTTTCTGAGGAAACACACACATGGAAACCATGAGCAGCACAGCCCTCCTCATTAGCTCATTCAGGCTGACTTTGATGAGGTCCTGCGGCTCTATCCAGCACAGTAAATCTCATACCGTAAAAAGGTTCTTAAAAGTAATTAGACATCCCTCAAACTTTCAACTGCTCATGTGTTTATTCTTTAACCTTTTAAATTTGCCAGGGATAACAAAAGGTCTCATTTGGTATGTATTACGTACGTACGAGCTCTCATAGCTTAGTGAAACTTGGAAAAAGTTAGATTATTAAAATTTAAATCTTGACGTTCTTGACATTAAAACAATATATATATATATATGTGTGTGTGTGTGTGTGTGTGTGTGTGCCGCTTTGATTGCCCATGTATCATGCCTCATTACAAAAGCAGTCCAGGCTAAACTGCTGTAGGCAGGCATATGTAAAAACGCCAGTTTTGGTGACATCACAAAAGCAAGGAATCAAAACAGGCTGCTTTTGCAGCTTAGTTTCTAGTAGACTGTATGGACTGAATGTTGTGATTCAAACATTAACACTGTTAACATACTCCACATCAAATTATTCTTAGGGCTGTTTCATAGCACTGGAATTGTTAATAGAAGCTGAACACTGACCTCTAAGAAGGGGAAGACCAGGCCTACAGTGAAGTTCGAGAGCCAGTGGACGGAGCCTGCCACCATGAAGGCCGCCGGCCTGGACGACTGGCGGAATATCTCAGTGGTAATCACAGTGGGAATGGGACCTGTAGGAAGCAGCAGCAGAGACCTTTCATCAGTTTTCACTCCATTTTCAGCACCGTTTATCACCACACACTCCTCTGAGGAAGAAGCGGGCTGTGAATTTATGAGTCAAAGCTTTTACAGTCGAGTTTATATTCACTTTAAAACACTTTCATGCAGGTTCCTTTTTAAGTAGCTCTTAAAATCTCTGAGTTAAAACTGAATGGATTTGAATGATGCCAGATGCACACTTACTCGGGCCTATGGCGTGTCCAATGACATAAATGATGACGCAGGCAATGCTGACATAGGGCATCCATTGCAGAGTGTCCTGTGGACAGGGCAGCAGATTGTTACTGTTGGGGTAAATTTGTCACGTTTATGACCCTCCCCCTCACACACATTGAGTAGTAAGAGAGTTGCCAGTGCAGCATGATTCCTGTTCCAGAGTCCAAATCTACTGGTTCTGTTTTAACTCTGCCCCCTGTCTATTTACGACATCAATAACAGTGCACTATCAGATGATGCTTTATTACTAGTGAGGGCCTGCAGCCACATAAAAGGTAATTGATTTTGAGCTTTCATAAAAAAGCTATCTAGACCTCGGTGGTGATTTCTGTACCTGCAGGCTGAGCGCTACGGTGAGGATCACGCAGGCTGCACAGCAAATGCCGAACCCAATCAGCAGCAGCAGCTTTCTGCCTGAGGCCTCCACTATGAACACCTGTGAAACAGCACAAATGCACACTTTCACTCATCCTTAACAGACGCTATCCTGTAACATCAAAACAATCTTGGGTTATTTGAGGCGATTAGAACACTCACTGCAGCCAAAGTCATGAGGACGTTCACAGAGCCGGTTCCCACAGTCACATACTGAACATCATTGTCCTTCACTCCTGCTGAAGAAAAGATGCTATCCGCATAGTAATATATCTGCGGATAGGAGCAACAAACAATATCAGTATAGATACAAATCAAAAGGACAGTTTAAAGAAAAATCAAATATTACAGAATTCCCTTCATTCATGTTTGATTCTGTTAAATTCACAGAATGTTATGTAAAAAGGTAACAAGTAATGGAAGATTAAACTCTACCAAGTATCACTGTGTAAACTGCATGTTAACAGTGCACATATTTCCAATTGCTTTTATTGGGAGAGATGCATTTCGCTTGCTGCTCTTGCAGTTTTGTGCAGTTTGTGTGGCTGTTTTCTGTTTTTTTGTACTTAAAAAACTCTCAAAAGTATCTATTTCTCTGTAAAAACATAAGGAACTTCAGTGACAGCTGTGATGAAGGAGGGATCAGTGGCTGCAGCTCCTCACGGATGAAAATGATAACAAATAAAAAAGATTTTTTAGTTTAGCTTGTTTTTGCTAGCAGTAAGTAGCACTGTTTCAACTTTCTGTCTGTGCATATTGAAACAACAGCTGTCTAGCACAGCTGACTGACAGGTACAGCCCTGCTATAGCTTAGCAACAGGGGCCAATGCAGCCAGAGTCAACATTCAAACAAGGACATAAAGTGTCACTGATGTAAAGCACCAGCATGTAGTACCCCAAAAGTCCTAGAAAGCACACTCTTCTCACGTGTCCACAGCACAAAAGACTCATTTCAGCTACACAGCACAAAAGACTCGTTTTCATTCTAGTAACTAGAGTGCCAGTAGCTCCCCCTTGTGGACAATCTGGTTGAATGTGAGTGAGTGAGTTACAAGCCAGGCCCATGAGGTGCGTCACATCTAAGACATACACTGTGAACCCACAAGAAAAAAGAAAGTCATTGCAGTGGGCCTCACTTTTTTCTGCTTTCAGAAAAAAGCAGTTTGACCCCCTCTAAGTCATCACATTTGTACCTCAAACAATGTGAAGTTTTTAAGTAATCTTATATCGACTTGCCTAAAGTCAATTTGAAACGGAAATCAGAATGCATTTTTCTTCTTTCTTGTGACGTCTTACCAAGTGAAACAGGACATAGGCTGTGCCTGAAACTGAAGGCAGTGCTCTGGATGCCTTGCTGCCTGTATTATCTCATTAGTCAGTGCTTTAGAAGGCAGCGTTGTGATGAAGGTATCTGCATCACAATGTCACACAATTCAGTTTGGTTGAATGTGTTGTATTTGGTTCTATAACAACAGAAGAACCCTTTCCATTTTTAATGGATTATATTTAATATGACCAACGATGTGAACTAAAAAAGGTATAAAAGGGTGCATTTCGATTTCAGGTTGACTTTCAGTGGTTTCTAACACTATATGACATACTATTATCTATACAAATGCGCAAATGCACCCATCACATAGCTAAAGATCACAGTAACAGGCATCATGAAGTCTGAATTTTGTCTGTTTCTACTGATATGATGTTCGTATAAACATATATAATGTTAGAAATCACAGATTGCAAATATTGGTCAGCCTAAGCTTCCATTAATTGTCAGCCACATTTGCTTTGCAGCTCCAGTGAAGTCAAAAATGCTATGGCTGATTTACTACATAGAAACCTGTGTAAATCAGATTTCTCAATGAACTTTTCCTTTAAAACTGCTATAATCAGACCAAATTAGCACATGCTAGTATTATCAGAGCACATGAAAGATGTCCAGGAAAGATCAGGAGCATAAGTGGTTTGCGGTCAGTGTGGTGAGGCTTACGGCGTTAACTCCGGACAGTTGCTGGCCCATGTTCATGATGATGATGGACACCACTTGCCAGCGCAAGGAGCGGAGGGTGAAGAGGGTAAACACAGACAGCTGGCCGTCGGCCCGCTCCGACTGCACCTCCAGCCGCATCTCCTGCAGCTCCTCGTCCACATCCTGCCAGCCTCGCAGACTCTGCAGCGCTGAAACACAGCAAGGTCAACTGTCAGTTGTCAGAAGTGATTTTGTGTGA